GTCTTTAGTTCAGAGAGCTGAGTCTGAACAGTGTTAAAAACAGCCTGTAATTTAACAACCGCCTCCTTAATGGAGGGACCTGCACAATACATCACGGTATCATCCGCATACAAATGTAAATTAGCTTCATCCACATTATCACCTAAGCTATTGATATATATGGAGAATAAAAGTGGACCTAAAACAGAACCTTGTTGTATCACCATTAGAAATGTTTAACCACTCAGAAGACAGCCCATCAAAATGAACACATTGGGACCTTTCAGAGCCACCCCACTGCATGGCTGGATATGCCAATACTGAGTAGCCTCTGCTTTAAGATGCGATGATCAACGGTGTCAAACGCTTTGGAAAGGTCAATAAATAGAGCTGCACAACTCTGCTTATTATCTAAGATACCCGTAATGTCATTCACCACTTTCATTGTGGCAGTGATGGTGCTATGTTTCTTTCTGAAGCCTGACTGATGTTTAGACAGGATATCATTTTTACATAAAAACTCCTTTACTTGTTCACTCACTAGGCGTTCGAGCACTTTAGCCAGAACTGACCATTTTGAGATTGGCCTATAGGTTTTTGTGAATTGTAACCTTGTCATGTCCCTTTAGCATAATAGCATGATTTACCTTTTATGTTTCACCTAATCTAGTAGTTTATAGTTTATTTATGTGTTCCTTTAAAAGAAAATGTGTCTATTATGTTAGATTTTCTACTTATTTGGATAGTAATAATATTTGGGAGATTACTAGAGTTTAGCAGTAGCTCCATTGCAAATGCTTCCACACTATAATCAGGGATTACCACCGCTTCCTAATCCTGATTTACCCTCTTTCTGTGTATTTGAAGTCTCACTCCATTCTTGATCCGACCTCGTAAACAACAGCTTTCAGTTGAATTTTTTTTTTGTATTATTCAACTGAAAAACATTGTGATGCTTTTGAATGGACACACACACACACACACACACACACACACACACACACACACACACACACACACACACACACACACACACACACACACACACACACTTGTCCATGCTGCTGATGGGAGAGAGGAATATGTCTGCTTTACTGTAACGCTATCTGGAAGTCATAATGTCAGGATTTAGTCATAAAAAGTTTTAATATTAATTATTATTTTATAAAGAAAACTTTGGCATACAAAGACAGGGCCATGTGTCATGGTGTGGAGGGGGAAGAGGGGGAGAGACTCCTCAGACCTTTATGCAGGCTTTGATTAGGGATTGGATCACCTGAGGGAGACAATCAGGGGAAGAGGGGGAGACACACACACACACACACAGGCAGACAAACCGACCCGTAACATAATGCTTTAAATCTGTCAAAAGACATATAGAGAAATATAAACACCTGGCAAAGTTATAAAACTGCTTCTGTGGTTCCCGCTACAGCAGGCTTCTCAAGGAGTATGTTTTCCCATGACGACTCAGGCCACTTTAACAAGAGCATATCGACTCAGTTTAGCCCGTTTGTATCAAACAAATCCGGTTTAAGCTTCAAAGCCGTAAGTCGAGACAACTTTAACAAAAATAGAATATATTGACTTAATAAAATAAGAAATTAACTCCAAACTAGCTTCATCTAAAGACACAGCGAGCTATTGTCTTTCCAAATGTAAATACCATCAAAACATTCAAAGCCAGTCAATACTAATATTGATTGATTGATTTGACTTCCCCCTGCACATCTGTATGTGTTTTCCTGCCACCAGATGTTTCCCTCTGCATATGCAAATGTGAGAGGAGAGGAAGGAAGAGGAGATCCTCTGTCAGCGTCTCTCACTGTGGATGGGCATCAGGCTCAGTGCTGTGGACACACACTGTCCTACTTGAGACCGTGTGTGTGTGTGTGTGTGTGTGTGTGTGTGTGTGTGTGTGTGTGTGTGTGTGTGTGTGTGTGTGTGTGTGTGTGTGTGTGAGAGCCATAAAGTGGAGATTAGATAAATGGAGTCGGCCACAGGGTGGGGGATCAGATCAGAGTGTCTTTGTCTAGAGAACTGACATCTGATTGTGTTGTCGGGACCAAGAGGCAACAGCATGTACTGTACACACACACACACACACACACACACACACACACACACACACACACACACACACAGAGATAATAATGTGTTGACATTGTGTGTTTTTCTGCTCTCTTTCAGGCTAACATTGGTCAGATGGACAACGCCAAGAACATGTGGAAGATGATAATGGGGAACTTGGCTCTCATCCAGGTAACTTTAACACTTGTCATGTGTCATGGAGCATCTCGTACATCCCCTAAACTAATCGTGTCACCGGGAGAAGTCAGATAATGAGTTTACGTGCCGTTCAATTCGACCGTCAATTTGCTCTGAAACTCAATTCCCATGCAAGCATTTAATTCAGTTCGAAGGGTTAGTTTGTCCTTTTTTGTGGGCTTGTATGAGTCAGGGTTAGGAGGGTTACTTAAAAAAGGTATCCATGAACAATTAATAAATACATGAAATGTAATAAGTCACCTTATCTGGGTATCATCAGTCCACCTTTTCTTCATAACTAGTTAAAAGCAAATCACAAGACATCGATTTTTCATTATAATTCACATCATGTTTATTTAGTGCTTCAAAAATCCCTTGTGTAGTTTTAAAGCAGTATTATAATTGCCTATGAAAGCATTCATAATGCACTATGGATGTGGTCTTCATGCAAAGTGCTTCACAATCTAGGATCAAATGCAAAATAGAGAAATCAGATCTTTAATTCTGGTAAATCTATATCCTCTGTTATGTACAGTAACAGCTCACAGTAGTGATCCAAGCAGCAGATAATAAGCCTCTCCCGACAATTAAGTGTAACCCGTGAGGGCTGAACAACTGTAATCTTTAGAATCCTGAAGGTATGGTCGGATCAGACAAGAAGTGGACACAATGTGGGTGCTTTCAACCTCATTGTGCGTCACTTTTTGTGTGATCAGAGCCGGTGTTCAGCAGCTGTCACACTGGAGTTACTGGTGTGTTCAGTAATAGTTAGTCACTGTGTTTACTGTAAACACTGTGCACTTGTAAAGAAACAGACTGGTCTTAGGTTCAGCAGTAATTTGATTCCTTAAATGTCATGTAAAGGATAAACTGGGTTCAGGTCAGGGCATCAAGAGAATCCTGATTATTTGGATAGAAATGGACAGAAATTAGTTTTTAAATGTTTTTGTGCACGATAAAGATCATGTATTAGTGTGTTGCTGTGACAAAAGTGCATCCAGAGGAAAGGAAATTACAATAATACAAACTAACCAACCCTAAGGGGCCAAAGTGGACCAGGAACATGTACAATTATTGCTTAATATGGCAAAATTACCGAATCAGGATACAAAAAAAGTAGCTGTATTCCCTATGCACCAGCAGTGAAACACATGAGCACAAGCAGAAATAAAATCTGAGCTGACAGAAAATGCTCCGTTTTTAGTTCAAAACACACAGCTAAGCTCACACACACTATTTTAAGAACATATAGGTTCACCTGCTGAATTAAAAACAGAACAAATGAAGCAAAGAAAGTGTGTAGTGGCCAAAAACCCCAAAAGTTTGTCTTGTAACCTTCACCTCAAAAGTTATTGTTCTTGGCCACATGTAGAGCTTGGGCCTCGGAAGCAGTACACAATCCACTGGACGTTTCGGTTGCTTTTCAAGGTTTATTTCCAGCAAAACATAAACAAAATACGAAAACAATATTTAACATAAACTTAAACAGCAGATCCTAATAATCTGTATTTGACTAAGCATAAGGTTGCGTCTGCGTGTCAATTACGGTATTGCTGCTGCCTGCTGCTTTCCCGTCACACACACAACTTAAAGCCTTAGCCCCGCCCCCTTCCCCTGAGCAAAGCACACCTCTTACTGAAACAGAAAAATGCATTAATAAAGGTTCCAAATAAATCAAAACAAAATAAACTTAAATGCGGCTCCTACAAAGTGGAAACCATAAAGCAGATCCAGGCAGTAGAAGTANTGTTAGTAAGACAGCTAAGAAGAGCAGATAGTGTTTGTTGTAAAGGATCAGATGTTCTCTCTTCTCTGTGAGCTGTTCTGTTCTGTAGGATAATACTTTAAGTGTGAATACTTCTACTGCCTGGATCTGCTTTATGGTTTCCACTTNCTATACTTCTACTGCCTGAATCTGCTTTATGGTTTTCTCTTTCTTTGGTTCATTTGTTCTGTTTTAATTCAGCAGATGAATTTATATGTTCATAAAATACTATTTTATGAACATATAAATTCATCTGCTGAATTAAAACAGAACAAATGAACCAAAGAAAGAGAAAACCATAAAGCAGATTCAGGCAGTAGAAGTATAGAATCACTCTTAAAGTATTATCCTACAGAACAGTACAGCTCACAGAGAAGAGAGAACATCTGATCCTTTACAACAAACACTATATGATCTTTTTAGATTTTTACTAACATTGTAATCCTGCTAGTTATCCCCCATTTTTTAAATGTAACAGTAATCTGATTACATCTGTTTTTAATGCAACTGTAAGGGAATACAGTCTCCCCAAGCCTGGTTATCTTTATATTAGGTGTACTTTAGTTTCCAAGATCGTACATGGTCTTTCATAAAGGTTTACATTTTTACAAAGAAATCTATTCCAGAGGAAACATTGTATATTTTTGTATAATTTGTTGACTGGATTTGATACCTTTTACCAAGTTTGACAGTTTACAAAAGTCTAAGTAAATAGTGTAAGTTCTGGTGTTGGGTGGCGAGCATCAGTGAAAATCCTTTTTCTCTCCTGTTTGAGCTTGTCGTCTATTGTGCACTCTCAAGTCTTTGTTCCACATCATTCTCCCTCCCTGATGGGGGTCTAATTATTTTTATTTTTGTACCAGAGAGGGTGAGAGAGGTGATGGCTGGTAAACACAGACCCAAGCAGAGTCCAAATTAGGGCAGCAAACAGACCCTGCCAAAAACCGAGGCCAATGGCTTCTTCATGTCAGCTTGTATAAAGCTCTGCTTCAGTGCTTTTTAAAACATCTCTCTGAACTCTATTATGATGGCCGACAGGTGCAAACGCGCTACAACTGCCCAAACCTCTTACATTACGATGAACAAGCTGCACTATCAAAAGTTATGCAAATATAAAAGCATAAATTTGTCAAAACACATGCAAATGAGGAAACAGATGTAATACGCAGAGTTTACTAAAAGTGCTGCATACATGAAACGATGAGTTACGTATTGTAACCTTAGTTATATAAGCACAGGCGGAGCCCTCTATTGGACTCTATGGGTACTGCCCTTGACCTTACTATGCGAGCATTCACATACTGAGATATTTATAAACGTAGCCGGCCCCCGGGGGCGGGCCTACCTGGGTGCGCGTACAGGCCCACAGTATATAAGGCGGCCTCGCCACCCGACCGTCATCCTACACCAGGGGTCCGCAAATAAGTATGGCCTTGGGCCAATTTTTTTCTGAGCCACTAGATGGCGGGCCGGAACATAATCAAAGGCTTATTTAATTAATTTATTGTTAAAACATGTGACACGTTCGAATGCTTGGGGATCCAAAGCTTTAGTGCGTTTTGAATCAATGCTGAGTACAGCCAAACTAGACAGTCTCTTCTCTGTCATTGTAGACCGAATGCTTCTCGTTTTGCGCCGTCCCGTTCAAATGACAATCACATTTCCGTGCTCGCGCCAGGTCCGGGGGAGGGGTTACAAGGCTTGCGTCTTGTGCTGCATTCTCTTGCACTCGGACATTAGGGATTATCTCTCATAAATGTCCGATGAGCCAAAACTTTTCTTTCAATATAAAGCTGCCAACTGGGGTGGCAGCATATGCACCGCCAACCCTCGCCCTCCATGATCAAGCGGCTTCTCCGATTTTATTGTCAATGTTTTGACTGAACTTTGTTACTGTTCACATATAAGTAAACATTACGTTTGAATGATTTAGTGAGCTGGTGTTATTTTTTTCAAACCACACACCGCATGTTGGCTATTACAGCACCACGCGCTGTCCACCTACTTATTGATCCACTATCAGCGTCAGTGCACCCCGCTGTCAGATTGTGCCTGTGCAACATCCTGTCGTCCAACAACCCATCACAATGCCCCTGACCGGCTTTCTGGTTAGCAGCCACTGCACCACAACCTCTCCTCCCTCGGTTGTGACCGTGGAGGAGCCGGGGCCGCAGTTTATTTGGCTGATAGAGCACACCCAGACACGCTTACCTCGCGAAGGGTGTGCATGGAAAAAACAGTGAGGAAGGCTCCCATTGCCTGCCCTTAGGCAGTCCTCAAGCCCTGTATGGGGCTCACTGCGAACTATGTTTCTCGGGTCCCTAAGGAGCATGGGAAACCATAAGTGCATTATGTCCAGGGGGTGGGGGGGGTCAGACATGAGAAGGAGCCAAACATGTCCAAGAGATAAAACCTTATGAAGGCGCCTGGCGTGGACCAAGACGCCACCGTGCACATGTCCTCCACACTGCTAAATAAGGCTGTTGACACAGCCATAGCTCGTGTAGATTGCGCAGGGACCCCCGTGGGGAAGGCTCTTGTGCACTCCACATAACATGCCAGCGCACGTACCGGGCAGAGGAGGTGCAGTTTAGCCTCCTTGTCCCAATATGGGCCGGAAGACTAAGGCCGCCCAGCTGTATAGCCCCTTGAACTCGACAAACTCCTTTAAAGTGGACCTATTTCTGGATGCCTCAACATCCTCATCCTCCTTGGACCTCAGCGCTGCCTTCGACACCATCAAATCCACTCCATCTTCTCCTCACCCCGTCATGAAACCACCTTCAACATCACCCGCAGCTGCCCTCTCTTGTTCACTTCATACCTCTCGACAGAAACCAGTTCATCACATCACATAATGCAAATCTCACCGCACCCAAGTCCCCTCAGCTCAGTTCTCGGTCCTCATAAGCCCCGAAGGTGAGTCCCATGCCAAGCCCTCAGTTCTCGGCCCCCTCCTCTTCATTCCCAGTCGTGCTTCCCTGTGGCACATAATCCGCGTCATGGACTTCAATCCACTGCTTGCCGACGACATCCAGCTTGCTCATCCCTCCACCAAGTCCATCCCCTGGGCTACCCACTCCATCCTGACAAAAACTGCATCAACTGAATAAAATCCTGGCTCCCAACTTAACTTCTGAAACTCAGTTTTGGCGATAAATCTGAAATAAGTAATAATTGGACAAAA